GAGTAACATTACAGTCCATCACCACTAAACACAAAAGTTGAGTCATCTCTCACATTCATCATTCTAGCCACCACACAATTACACCATCAAGTCGACTCTTCAAGTTTCAAAAAAACTATCAATCTCTCTCTAGAGTCCTAATAGTACGTCATATCTCTCACATTATCATTCTAGCCACCACATAATCACCCTATCAAGCTAACTCTTCAAGTTTCAAGCCTAAGAAGGGGATCCTTCTAACACCATACAAAAACAGCCTCTAGTATAATCAAACATAGTCACATTACAGTCCATCATCACTAAACACAAAATAAGTTGTGTCACTTATCATTCTAGCCACCACACAGTTACACCCATAGAGCCGACTCTTCAAGTTTCAAGAAAACTATCTATCTATCTCTAGAATCCTAAGAGTACATCATATCTCTCACATTCTTATTCTAGGAACCACACTATCAAGCTGACTCTTTAAGTTTCAAGCCTAAGAAGTGGATCCTTCTAAGCTCATAGCCCAATACAAAAACAACCTCTAGTAAAATCAAGCATAGTCACATTACAGTCCATCACCACTAAACACAAAATAAGTTGCGTCATCTCTCACATTTATCATTCTAGCCACCACATAGTTACACCCATCTAGCCGACTCTTCAAGTTTCAAGGAAACTATCAATCTCTCTCTAGAATCCTAAGAGTACGTCATATCTCCCACATTATCATTCTAGCCACCGCATAATCACCCTATCAAGCTGACTCTTCAAGTTTCAAGCCTAAGAAGTGAATCCTTCTAACACCATACAAAAACAACCCTCTTCAAGTTTCAAAACTAAGAAATTGATGTTCTAAGCCCACACAAAAACAGCCTATAGTAAAATCAAACATAGTCACATTACAGTCCATCACCATTAAACACAAAATAAATTGCGTCATCTCTCCCATTTATCATTCTAGCCACCACACAGTTACACCCATCTAGCCAACTCTTCAAGTATCAAGAAAACTATCAATCTCTCTCTAGAATCCTAAGAGTACGTCATATCTCTCACATTATCATTCTAGCCACCGCATAATCACCCTATCAAGCTGACTCTTCAAGTTTCAAGCCTAAGAAGTGGATCCTTCTAACACCATACAAAAACAGCCCTCTTCAAGTTTCAAAACTAAGAAATGGATGTTCTAAGCCCACACAAAAACAGCCTATAGTAAAATCAAACATAGTCACATTACAGTCCATCACCACTAAACACAAAGAAATTGCGTCATCTCACACATTTATCATTCTAACCACCACACAGTTACACCCATCTAGCCGACTCTTCAAGTTTCAAGAAAACTACAGATCTCTCTCAAGAATCCTAAGAGTACGTCATATCTCTCACATTCTCATTCTAGCCACTGCACAATCACACTATCAAGTTGACTCTTCAAGTTTCAAGCCTAAGAAATGGATCCTTCTAAGCCCATACATAAACAGCCTCTAGTAAAATCAAACATAGTCACATTACAGTCCATCACCACTAAACACAAAATAGGTTGCATCATCTCTCACATTTATCATTCTAGCCACCACACAGTTACACCCATCAAGCCGACTCTTTAAGTTTCAAGAAAACTATCAAACTCTCTCTAGAATCCTAAGAGTACGTCATATCTCTCACATTATCATTCTAGCCACTGCACAATCGCACTATCAACCTGACTCTTTAAGTTTCAAGCCTAAGAAGTGGATCCTTCTAAGCCCATACAAAAACAGCCTCTACACCAGAGCTTAGAACCTTTGCTTCTTGTTTATTTCTTCTTTTTTTTATGGAAGGAGCAATTTCCTTTTAACGAACATGAAAGAACAGAGACGAAGGAATTAGACACCACAGAATGAACTAGAAAACACGACAAACTGGAAACCATACAAAAAACTAAATAAACGGATTATTGATCCAAATTTCAGTTTGAAACCCATGTGTTTAACCTACTTTCATTTGGTTAATCCTAAAACTACAGAAAGAAAACTAGAAACTTAACAACAACTTTTTTTAGGGAAAGAACTTGAAAGCACACAAATAAGAAACTAGAAACCACACAAAGAAAAAAGTGCAGACCACAACAAGAACATACTAGAAAATAACACTAGTAGAGATTAATAAAAATATAAAGTTGAATCTTTAGTTTAGAAAGTAACCTGTCTATAAGAGATCTGCGCTCAACCGGCACCGGCACCGGCACCGGCGCCGGTGGGACTGGTGTCGGTATCAACCGCCCCTGGGATTCGAGCCAAAACCTGGACAGTTTCGGCTCGATTTTGATTCTGCGCGACGTCGTACGCCTTCTATTATGAATCGTGCGCCTAAGAATCATCCTTCGGAATCTATTGCAGGCGTCTTCACTAAAAAACTCTTCCTGAACAGGATGTATTATTCTCTTTTTCTTGAACCACGAAATCGCCATAGTTAAGAAGAATGAGGAAGCGGCCTAGAATAAAGAATGGTTTTCAGGCAAAACCGAACGATGAAGTCGCCGGCCGGCAAACTAAGGAAACATACCGACATAAAAAAAGTTTTGAATTAGGAAACTTAAGTCAATTAATTTCTTTTTAAAAAGTACAACTTTTTAAAAAATTTAAAATTTTAATGACTTATTTTAGAAATATTTTTTTAAATGACTTATTAAAAAAATGCTTTTGAAAAAAAAGTTCTTTGTGTTTGGCTAGAGAAAATGACAATAAATGATCCCTAAACTATTATGGTAGGTTTAAAATAGTCCCTAAATTATACACTTAACGGAAATAGTCTTTTAATTATCTACAATCTTGTCAAGTTTGGTCTGTATCTACCTTTTATACACACCGTTACAAACGTCGTAATTCAGCTACTCTCTCTTGATTTTCTTTTTTTCTTGTTTTTTCTTCATTGACGTTGCTATAATAAAGAAAACCTTGTCAAGTTGGTGTTGTTTTTGTGCAGTTTGGGGTAGCTTGGTGATGTTTTTTGGTGCAATTTTTGTGTAGTTTGACGCAATATCTGTGCTATTTTTTGTGTAGTTTAGTGCTGATTTTTAGTGCTCGAGTGTTGTTGTCTATGCAGCAGTTTGGTGCAAATTTTTGGTAGTCTGATGCAGTAGTGTGGTATTTAGGTTTGATGTTGTTGTCTAGTGTTGTGTTATGAACAATTTGATGCTGATTTTTTGGTGTTTTAGTACTGCAATTTGATTTGACTCGAATAAAATAACGACCACCACACAGTTACAGTAAGACAGAGGAGTTTAAGAATTGGACAAAATAAAGTGAAAAAATAGTGAGGTAATAGAGAGAAAAAAATCAGGAGATAGAGATTGAATTAAAATGTAAGTTAATGGTGTTTGGTAAAAACTATTTTTTTTTTATAAAAAGTAGATATAGACCAAACTTGACAAGACTTTAGATAGTTAAAGGACTATATTTATTAATTGTATAGTTAAGTGGCCATTTTAGATCTAGTTTAGGGACCATTTATGTCATTTTCTCTGTTTGGCTAATTCATTTGAAAAAACTGTTTTGATAAACAAATTATGTTTAACTATATTTTTAAAAAAATACCTTTGAGAATCAAATTACAAAGAAACTATAATTATCAAAAAGAAACTATTTAAATATCTATTACAAAATTTATAATTATAATTTTATTTTAATTAAATTAAAATGTACATATTCAAACATGGAATTACTCATGCAATACAAAAATTACTTACCTCCTAACCAACTACCATACAAACTATCTAAGAGTTTTTCACCCAATAAGTATATGAGTTAACTTTTCTAAAAATTATACCCGACTTTGTAAATTAATGATCTTAAACTTTTGACCACCAACTAATGGAGAAACCTCGAAAGTCAAGAATCAAAATATGTTATACCTAAAATCTTGCTCATGAGGCAAAACGAGGTTGAAAATTCAAAACCATCTGCCTCCAAACTATTCTCGTAAATCACCCAAAAATTTTATTGTTTTCTTCCTCCTTGCCTTAAGTAACTAGAATATTCTTTAAAGATCAATCAAAATATAATCCAATCTATTCAAATTCAATAAAATATAATCTAATTTATTCAAATTCAATAAAATATAACCACTAGATTTGATTTCTTATTGTAAAGCATACATCGTACTCAAATATTACATTAACTAATATCTGTGTAACACGTTGAAATTTACTGATCATCATAGTACAAATTGTTGGCCCTCACCAAGTGACGAATATCCATTGGATAAGAATCAGACGGTAGAATAGCTCCATAAGCTCTATTTCTAGGAAAATATTTAGTATGGTAGAGGCGCAACAAACAACAGTTGCGTGAGGCTCCACTTATTCCTTGACACTTGAATATAGTGGGCTCATTCTTTTACTTTAAATCTCCAAACATTAGGAAAAAAGATCAAATATGATTTAAAATTGGTATGACCCAATAAAATTATACTAAATAATATAAATAAAATGAATTATGAGGTCCACTATTCTTTAAGCTCATCATATCCAAAAATAAAAATAAAAATCCGGACATCATTCTTCTTCAACTTCGAACATTTTTCTTCTTATTTTTTTCTAAATTGAAAATTTTATCAAAATTATCTCTCAATATTAGGAATTGGCAAAAAGAAAATTTGTTGAAATATCTATTTTATCCTTAATACTAGATATTGTTTATTTTTTCATACATTTTACAAAATATTATGTTTATTATTGTAAAATTATCATTTTATTGATTACTTTTAATTGCATTTATCATTACAAGATTGATTAAAGATTACTTTTTCTTGCTAATGTCTCATTTGATTAATCCATGCATAACAATTGTTACTTGTCAAACTTATGTAATTTGCGTTTATAGATTAATTAAACTCTAGCAATTTCAACACAAGGTCTCATAAAAAAATTCTTCATTAAAAAGTGGGGGACTGGAAATACAACATTTTATGATTAAAACAAAACAAAGAAGCACTAAGAATATATTAAACGCTTATGATTACATCTTATATATAGTAATTAAAGATGTCAATTCCACAATAATTAATATTTGTAATGAAGGTAGATATATAGTATTTGATAATTAATCAAGCTTGAGCTAGGCGACTAATATCATAAGGATATGCATCAGATGACTTTTGAGCTCTATATGATCTCCTCCCAACAACTATATTTGCAGCTTCAGTTGGATGAAATGCATCCCAAAATAGATATTCATTTCTATTTCTGCATGGTGTTTGGAAAGGAAGACACGTAATTTGTCCGTTGTTCCTCCCTACCCCACAACATCCAGCATTCGTCACTCTAAATCCTGGAATTAATTAGTAGATTCGAATAATTAGAAAAATCATATGGAAACGATGATTGATTTAAGGAGAAAATTAGAAGTGAAAAGATTAATTACCAAAAGCAGCAGGATTTTCAATTAAATCTTGGAAAATTCCATAAGCATCAAGGTAGATGAATTTTGCATCAGGTGTATTTCCATTCAAGTTATCAACAAGTGCCTTGAGTTTATTGTTGAATAATTGATTTGCTACATTGATTCTTTGTACACAAGTTCTCCCATCTGGGCTGTTTTGGGCCAATGCATTTGGGCTGCACCCTATCTGGCCCACTCCATTCAAAGCAAACTTTCTTGCTCCATTACTGTATAAAATCTATCACCACAAAACATATAATTATTAAAGTGAAAGAGCGAGTATACAAGTAAAAGTGAACAGAGCGGGACATATAGCTTACCTTTAGTTGTTGAGTATATTGTTGAATAAGAACAGTAGCATATTGATCAGGAGTGAATTGTCTGCTAGTGGGATAAGTAAGAGGCATGAAATAATTATTGAGATAGTCATTGCTGCCAAGTCCAACTGAGTAAATGCACTTTTTAAGATAATCAGCTGTTGCATTTTGATTTCCTAATATTTGCACCACTTGTTGCACTGTGTTCCTGTAATTATTCACTTGTCCAGAAAAACTAATCCTTCCTCCCTATTAAAATTTCATAAAAAATTAACAAATTTTAATTAAACCAAAAAAATTGAAAAATATAAATAATTAAGTAGAATAAAAATGAATGAAGTACCAATTGTCTGCCAGTTTCATCTCTAATTCCAGCAGCTGCAGAAGCATAATTGACACCTCTGAGAACATCTCTGCCCCTAGCAGATGCATAGGGTGGAATATTACCATTGAACCCCAGTTGTTCCGCTGTAAATTATAGTAACATAATTAATCTCAACTTCTTCTAGCAGATAACAGGGGTTGCTCAGATAATAAGCACCCTCCACCTCCAACTCTAATTTTTATCAATATGATCACCTTTGATATTAGGGATAAAGGTGCTCGGTGAATTCAAACATATATATGAAATGTCTAATATTGACCTATACTTAGAATATGATTTTGTTATATCATAAAAGGAGCAAGAGATATTAGTTTTTTTTTATTACAAGTTAATTAAGAAACTAGATATGATTTGAATTTAATCTTATGATATAGTACTAAGTAACATACTTGCATACACATTTGGATCCTAAACACAAATTTGTAACAAGTTTTTCTTGTTTAAATTAGTCCTACTATATATTTTCAATAACTTCGTACCAAATCAAAACTAGATATTTCATATCGTAAAGTAACAAATTCACCATATAGGTACTAATAGGTGCACGTGCAATCAATCACCATCATGAAATCAAACTAGTAAAAGTTTCAATGAATTATTTTTTTTTTAAAAAAGATTTGTTTACTATCTTAAAATTCTAAATCCGCCCTTACAAATGAAAGAAAGGAGATCATATCTTACCAATGACATCAACAGTAGTTTTTCCATTAGAGAATCTCCCAGTTGGACCACCAGGAAAATCAATACCATAAGGCAAGTAATTAGCCCTAGCCAAAGACTGAATATTGTTGTTATTCCCATTATCCACCAAAGAATCACCAAATATGAAATAACAAGGCACTTGTTGTGCATTTGCCCCATAATAATAATCTCCCAAGCATATAAACCCTAAAACCACCACCAATATACATCTCCTCATCTCACTACCCATTTTGAGACCCTTAGCTTTAGAAGTAGCTAGGCTAAGTAGTAAGTAGTTAGTTAAAGTAATGAGTTGTGTGATGAAAAGAATTGGAAAAATTAATGACTATATATAGATGTTGAAAGTCAAATATAGAGAGACAATAAGAAAAAAAAAAACCTAGAGATATATTTAATTTTGTCTAAATAAATTTATGTAACTTTTACAGATGAGAAGTTAGTTAGATAGCATTAAATTTACGCGGAGCTGGTAGATTTTCCCACTACGTGTATTATGACTTTCTAAACTATCACTCTCTTTGAATGGAGCTAATTAAGGAGTCTGTTACTAATTACTTATCCACTTTTGAATTGTCACATCTATTAAGAAATAATGATTGACATAGTGAGTTTACCATTTTACCTCTATTAATTATGAAGTAGATGGATTAAAAACTTAGGATTTTCAAAAAGTTCAACATTTTTCAGAATAATTAATTGAGGGTTTAACATGAATTTTTTTTTTGTCCTTTCTTGATTTGTCAAAATGGACAAGTAATTAGAGCCAACTAAAAAAGTAAAAGTGGACAAGTAATTAGGAACAAAGAGAGTATTTAATTACCTCATATGAACTAATTAAAGTTCATGTGTGTTAATGCATATATATCTAACAAAGTATACTTAATTAGTGAAAGGTACTAATTAAAAGCGAAAAATATCATCATCTCGATTGATCTTTGTACATTAATGATATAGGGACCATGTCAATATTATTCATTAACAGCTATACATTAAAATGGTTAATGGTGTACTGAGCATGTGGTGTGCTTTTTTCCATTTCTTAATAAAGTTATTCTGATTCTTGCTTCAGTTGATTAGGTGCATTGTTTTCCTGATCAATAGCTGGGATCTAGTTGATAAATTAAGTTCAAATTCCCATGTTAGTTGTTCACTTTTCTGTTTATACGTTCATTAAAAAATCATAAATAAGGATAATTTTATTAATTTATTGTTTAAGAAACTCAAACTTGTTTACACTTTCACCTTAAGAAATCATAAATAAAGACAGTTTTACTTAAATTTATTCTTTTAGAAACTTTACAAATTTGTTTACAATTTCAAAAAAGAAATTAATTGTAAGGGTAAAATGATTTTTTTAATTAATTCTATTTTTATTTTGTAATTAACAATAAAATTGAGACAATTATTTATAATAAGGTAGACAACGGATGGAGAGAGTAGAAAGAGCAAACAAAATTCTAGCCAGGGGGAAACTATAAACAATTTTAGATACCTTTACTCTTTTTTTTTTTTGAAGGAGGGTAGGGGTGGGGAACATGCGTAGCAAAAAATAGAACCTTACACATTTAGAACGCAGAGACGTAGTAGATCGTTATATATAATATATATATATATAAGTTCATTCTCTCTTTTTTATAATCGTGATGTTCAGTCAATATTTATGTACAATTCAATTAATTTTACAAATTCTCTATCCATACATGTATGAGGTAACTCTGTTTATCAAGCGTGATCGCTGAAATTAGGTAAATTACCTATTTGAGTGCACATGTATAAATTCAATGTTACTCTATTTTCTCTTCATATTCACTCCTGATCAAAGAAATTGGTCGACACTCGACATGCATAAAGTCAATACATCACAACCTCCCAACTACTAAGTAATTAAGTTCATAAAATGATTTTGCACATTAAAGCCTAAAGTGCATATATTATTACAAAGTCTCAATCATGAGTTGTCAATGATTCATGAGCAAACCATGAATTGATCAAAGTCTACTATATCACTTGCCTCTCAAACCTTTGGTTTGACTTTGTTTGCACTTTAATTTTCCCCACAAGAAAATGAAGCAACAGTAAAGAGGAATGGCCCAGAAGATATATAGGATCATCTAGTACTCATGCATTAAGCTAGCTAGCTAGAATATAGACATGCCATTAATGCAAATTTTTGGGAAGACTTAGTCATAAGGTGTACAAATTAAATCTATGAATTAAACATATATTGGGTAAGGAGAATGGCCGACTTTCTTGTATTTATGATGGATGTGATTGAGATATCCACTTCGTTTCATATTAGTTGTTTATATTATTTAAAATAGTTGTTCGGATTATTTGTTAATTTACAAAATCAATCAAGAGAGAATTTTAATTATTTTTTTTTCATTTACCTTTATAATTACTTCTTTTTGAAGGTATATACAAGTAATTTATAAAGTTTATAATTTTTTAAGAGATGTATAAAGGAGAAAGTGAAAAACTAATATAGGACAGGACGGAAGGAATATTGAATAGTGGATACGCTTGCTAGTCACATGGATTTGAAAAGGAAAGTAGCTAGGATACATAGAGTTATGGGATCAATATATATATATATATATCCTTGAGCAGTTGGCCATTTTGAATTTGGCTTCACAATTTATTTTCTTATTTTTTTAAAAATAATAATAATTAGGGATGGGTTATTTTTAAGAAAAAATAGTAGAAAGCCCAACCAAACAGAAAGGGATCAATTCAATTGGAACTTTAGTAGAAAGATCAAGGTCCTTAATTAATAGTCAAATTAAGTGCCAATCAGTTTAGTTCGTAATTAGTCAAGTAGAGGTGTTAAGACCTTTCTATAAACTCAAACCAATATATTTTGTACTCTGTTCTGCTTTTTTTTTAATATGATTTTTTACTAATATTAAGAGTTATCTCAAACTTTAATCATCTAGTCATATTACCAAAACAAAAGATCATCTAGTCATGATACGTACATATCTTAATCTTAGCTATATAAATTTTCTCAATGTCACAACGACTAAAATTATAAAATAAGAATGAAACGTTATATATATTTGGAAGTGCTGAAAAAGTTTAATTCCTTTATATTTTTGGCATATATGACTGATCAGAAACCACAACATAATCTCTAAGGAATCGTTCGATAGAGTGTATATATATAATTAGAGGGATAATAATTTTGTGTATTATTAGTATTTTGTTTGGTATATAAGTTCGGAGTCAAAAGGGCAATAATTTTTTTTGAAATTTCAAAAGGCCAACAAAATTATTTATCAAACCAAAAAAACAACAAAATTAGACGTCGTTCAATTCCGTTTAAATCAGGGTATCCACCGCAAGGCACGGATACCCATGCGACTTGTAAGGCGCAACAACCTTTAGCCTTCTAAGGCTCAGCCGCCATGCGCCATGCGCCTTACAAGACACATGAGTATCTGCGTTTTGTAGCTTTTTTTATAAGAAAAAATGATTTTGTGAATTGAGTTGTTAGGTATGTTGATGACTTACTACATTTATAAAGAACCAATATAATGTCTATTTTTAATATTGTTAACTAGGGTTCCAAACGAAATTATATTTAACGTAATTAAGAAATTTGAAATTAAGCTTTTAGTTGCATGGTCTCTTTCCATTTTCCATTTTTTGATTATAATCTTCCCTACATTGTTTAGTTAACTATAAAAATCTTATCATTATTTTTATAGAAAAAAATGTAGTACTTAGTATATTTGTAGAAGATAAGCTTCATACATTTGTGGTAGTATATTCCTAAAAAATGTAGAGTTGAGCAAACCACATTAAGAAAAGAGTTAACTTAAAGCAAAAAATTCTCACCACATTTTTTTTATATATAATTTGATATATTGAGTACAACATATAAGGGACATGATAGAAAATATAAAAGACAACGTAACACTTTTAGAGATTATCGTCTGCCTTGATGCGGTTGTTGTTGTTATTGTTTATGTCTACCGGTTCCACAAGTGATGGGTACGTGTGGCCTTGTTGTTAAATAACTTTGCAAGATAATCTCTAGAAGTGTTGTCTTTTATATTTTCTATCATGCATGTCCCTTATATGTTGTACTCAATATATCAAATTATATATAAAAAAAATATTGTGAGAATTTTTTGCTTTAAGTTACCTCTTTTCTTAATGTGGTTTACTTAACTCTACAATTTTCTAGAAATATACTACCACAAATGTATGAAGCTTATCATCTACAATATACTACTACATTTTTTTCGATAAAAATAATGATGATTTTTATAGTTAACTAAACAATGTAGGGAAGATTATAATCAAAAAATGGAAAATGGAAAGAGATCATGCAACTAAAAGCCTAATTTCAAATTTCTTAATTACGTTAAATAATTTTGTTTGGAACCCTAGTTAACAATTTTTTTTAAAAATAAAAAAGTTATATATAAATGGTTCATGGTTTCATTATATTGAACTGAACCAAAAGGTCTAAAAAAATTAATTTGTGAAAAGAAATTAATTAATTAGTGGATTCAAAAGTGTGTTGTTTAAGTTTGATCAATGAAGAATTTGTCAAAGTCAACAATTGTTTTGTCAAATACAGTGTTTATATATAATATATTGATCCACTGGATAAGAGATCGCACAAAACAATATTAAAAATAGATATTATATTGGTTCTTTATAAATATAGTAAGTCATCAACATACCTAGCAACTCAATTCACAAAACCAATTTTCTTTTAAAAAGCTGCAAAACGCAGATACCCATGCGCCTTGTAAGGCGCATGGTGGCTGAGCCTTACAAGACTAAAGGTTGTTGCCCCTTACAAGTCGCATGGGTATCCGCGCCTTGCGGTGGATACCCTGATTTAAACGGAATTGAAACGGTGTATAAATTTGTTGCTTTTTTTATTTGATAAATAATTTTGTTACCCTTTGGAATTTTCGAAAAATTTGTTACCCTTTTAACTCCGGACTCCTTTTTCAATCTATATTATACATTTTTTTTTTGTGTGTATTGAGGTGTGTATTATTAATACATGAATGTTTATGATATTAATAATGCAGGAAATTTTATTGCATGCATATTAGCATGGTTAGCTCCTAATGGTCACTCAAATCTTTTTAAATTCTAAATGAGATGGTAATTTTAATGATTAGTTCTTATTAATTAGTTAAAGTACATTGGATCCACTGCTTCATTTATGTGATTTGTGATTATGTTACTTAATTAGTGTTACTGCAAATTAATTCCTCTTTGATATCACAAGAACATAAGCCAAAAGGAAGAGGTAATCAAAATACAGAGGGTAATTTAAATTGAAGCTCATAATTAACATACAAATGAAATACTATAATTTTTGTATTTAATACTAAGAGACTGATGTCAACTAAGGA